AAAACCTGCAAAATTTGTCACATCTGGCAGAAATCTACTCCACATTCAAATAGCAAGAACTTTGCCTCACCAGGGAGCATTTTCTGTTATATGATAGAATTGAGTGACGTCAGGATGAGAGCTCACAGTGCAGCTCTGAGCAGCAGAGAGTGGAGATGCTGACAGCAACAATTGAAACAAAAACCGGATCAAACTGCATGGATGTAGTTTATTTCAAATCTGACATTGATACAAATTAACTCTTTGTATAGTTTGTATTCAGCTAATCCAGTAACTGCAGAAATTTAAACATAAGATGTCAGGAGAACTGATGTTCAACATTAAAAGCAGATGTATATTTTTCTTTTAAAACTGCATTATTGAGCGACAAACAGGGTCAACTGAAGAGAAAACCTGACTACTTAAAAACTGTCTAAAAAACAAATGGGCAGAGTCCTCTGCAGCCTCAGATCAATGCAGGTCTCATCTTCACTGCCAAGTTCAGGATGCGTGGACCTTAATCAGAGAGCACAAAGAGGATGATGAATAAGAGTGTATACACACAAACAGTGGACCATATCCCAGTAATCAGCACTATGCATAATCCCTGTGAGAACACCAGCTCTTGAGTCAGCATATAAAAACAACCCCTTCATTTTTCGCATTTATACTTTTTCTTTCTGAAGCTGAACAAAAACCATCAAACTGATAAGCTTTGGAAACAGACTGTTGAAAACACATGAAATATAATAAAAAGAGGATGTGAAAGTGTCTGTTAACATTCTGGATATTTACAGCAGAGAGCTGCCAAAACACTCAGTATCTAAGAGGAACACCTATCTTCGGCTGTCGTCCTGAAAACTAGAAAATCAGCTGGAAGTGCTGACAGCCCACTCCGTTTAAGAGTGTGAAAGATCAGGCGAAAGAGCATAAAATATCCACCAAGTCACAGAATATTCTCTGTTAGATTAAGTTAAATTATGATCCTGTCAGTGAAAGTGAAATAAAAACACAATGACACTGACAGACGTCAAGTTCTGGCCTCTGTGCTTAACGGTCCACTGTGGCTGTCATGTTATATTTGATACTGTATTATTTTTAATATCTGCCTTTGTTTTAAATGGAAAAAGAGATTAAGTTAGACGGGCCTGCCGACACCCTGATGCTGGTTGTCAGGTGTTTAATGACCTGGAAAGACCTCTATATCAAATAACACACAACCGTGTAATGTGCCTTTTATTCTTAATGTCTGAAGCTCTTTTTAGACAAGTACAGAACTCTTAAAATCTACAGTGTTTTACTGTAAAAATGAGGCCTGAGGACACTTGTATCGTGTATGAACTCCATTTCTTTATCATGTGGGACCAAGGATATGCAGTATATTCTGGAGGACTCTTCCCAAACCAGGACAAGATGGCTAGTGGACTGGGGGAGGCTGAGTTGTCTATATTGCTTCTACTACTGTACGCGATATGTATGTATGTGTAAGGTTTCAATATTTTTATACTCAACTTGTTTATGCAGGATTGTGCTGTGATTAAGTTGGAAATTGTGTTTGTTTTTGTTTTGGGGATTGGGTGTTAATGAAAAAAATGTATGCACTGTTTGAAAAAAAAAAATGTGGCGCTTAATTGTCAATTTAAAAAAAAAAAGAAAAAAAAAAAGGCCTAAGATTTTCTAGAAAGTATCCAGAATTTAAGCACAGCTTTATCCTTTCATCTATCCTGTTAGAAACTACAAAGTTTCCCTTCTAAGGTACCATGACACGGTGATTCCAGGTCAAATCTGGATCACCTGTAGACCTGAGATAAGATGGTCAGAGCAGCACTCCAGTTTTCTGTCTGTCTCAGGATGGTGGGTCAGGGAGCAGCTGTCCCGATAAGGCTGAGCTGTCTCTGAGGAGACTAAGGTCACAGGAGATATGTCGGCGCTCTGCTTCAGACTGCACACCGAATCCTTGTTTCCCACAGTGACACTCAGCATGACTGCAAAGTTTATTAATTATTATTACAACTCTTGTGAAAGCCCAACTATAATTCTACACTAGAAAAAACTTGGGTTCTTTGCAATGAAAGAAAGAGATGTGCAAATATCAATATAAATCTTGGTAACAACTAAACCGGGTTTGAAAATTTCAGATATCATGCCTTCTTACGCGTTTGCTTCATATGCAGGCTTTTGAACTTGATGAGGACAAGGCAGGTGCTCCCTCTCCTCTACAGACCACAGGACCATCCATGGTTTCCAAAAACATGTCAGCTTCGATTCAGCCAATTATCTGCACAACTTCAGTCCTTCATGTGTGAAGTACGAACGAGGAAGAGCGCCTACGTACAATTAAGGATTTATAAAAACAACCAAAACTTACTTTGAGGACATCCAAAGAGAATCACAAGTGTCGCTGGAGAATCAAACTCATGGAGGGGTTGACGACAATCTGACACAGAATAAAAACACGTCTCTGTCTAGACTTTATTTTATACATTATTTAACTGTTTACGACCCAAAATCAGTGACCCCGAAGTCCTGTTATAGAAATCCAAGAGTTTCTTTTGTATTTTTGGGCCCATATTTGTTAACTTGTTTGTTTTTGTTTCTGTTTCCTCACTAGCTCGTCTTCAGGGACGCTTGCTGATCTTTTCCAGTTGGTCAGTGTGGCTTACTGGCAGACGCCTGTCTACTGGACTGGCAATTACTCGGACAAAGAAGCTCCTTCAGCTGCTTTTCCTTTGGTATTTTTTTAAAGGTCATCTTTAATTTTGGCTCATAAATAACCTTGGACCCTTTGCTTTTTGTAGACATGTTGAGTTATCTAGTGACAGGGGAGGCTTTGAACAACAAATTTGTAAGGTTTTACCCCAAACTTGGATATTGCTTTTCCGTGGTTTGTACCTTCGCCCAGTGAGTCACTTTTCTATATTTTCCACATTAGATTCATTATTTGTTGTCAAACACTTGACCCGCTCGTGCTTTTGAATGCCAGGGTAAATTATGTTTTTTCAAGCATTAGAACTTACTCATACCCATGACATGGAGATTCCACCTGGCATGAAATTGACTGTTTACTCAAAACTCCATGACCTTATTTTTTAATAAAACATTAACTTTAACCTTGGCGACAGCAAGCCGTGAGCATTGACAGCATGATAACAAAGGTTTGAGACTTTGAAATACAAAAACACAGGGATTTCTTAGGTTTTGTTTACCGACCTTCCCAAAGGCAAGATTTTTGATGATCATGTCCTGCCAGGTACTTTATCTCTGAGCTATTTTGGACTAAAAGCTTCAGAGTTTCAGCAGAAAAATGATGACTCCTTCCTGTGGTTGTCAAGCCAACAGACTGCAGCCAAGATCACGACCACAACAGTCATGATTGAGCCAAAACACCATAGTAACAAGTTCTGTGTAAGTGAGCCTTATCACCACAGAAAGTGGCTGCTTCATGTTATGGGCTCTTCTTTTTCCCAACAGTTAGTCATGGAAAACCCCAGAAGCTTTGATATCACGGCTTCGTTTACCATGAAGTCAGCAAGATATGGAGGATAACAACTGAGGAGCCCCCTCAAAATCAGACTCCTGCTCTCTAATGTGTTTAATACAAGCTGATCTGTATCTTGAAGTCAGCTAACCTAAAATGGAGAAGTCTGTGTCTGATACCACTGCATCATCTTCAAACACAGAGCCTGAGCTGTTGTGAAATCAGCCTCCATCCTTAAAAGTCAGTGTGCTGTGTGCATGTTGATCGGAAGAGAAATGGACATATCCAATGAGGGAAAACTTTGCAATATCAAGGACAAACCCTTGGGATTACATGTGGGAGCTGCAATTTCTTTAATATATGTGCACTGTGCATATTTGCTGTGGGGTATTTGTCTTACATCCAAAAAGGGGCCGTAAAGAGGAACCTCTGGAGTTGAAAAATGAAGCTTATACAGAAGTTTTCCATTGAGTTGCGTCACCTTTTCTTTTAACAACACCTGCGAATGTTTGGGAACAGAAGAGATCAGTTTCTGGAGTTTAACAAATGAAATGTAGTCTCATTAACGCCTGATACAGGTTTTACAGCTGCTCAGCAGTCTGGGGGTCCCCTTAGTTGGATTTTTTCGTCATGAATAACCAAATCTTTTCAAAAGTTTAAAATTGAGACTACAAGTGGGCACCCAGTCAAGCACCCAGACTCTTATTACAAGGACATGCTGCTGTGATATGTGCAGGATGTGGTTTGGCAGTGTCACAAGGGTCTTCTCCTAAAAAAAAGAAACTATTGGATTGTAGCTTGTGTGATTGTAGCTTGACAATGAGATGGTCCATCTCAAGGGGCTATCCTTCTAAATAAGTAAATCTGTAACCTGTTTACAATGGTGTCAGTGGTGTTACCCATTTGTTTGTGAAGTAGACTTTTGTTGCCTATCAGTTGAGGTGGCCATATTGGTAATGCTGGTCAATCTACTATAGGCGGACCTTCAGCCTCCTTACAAATAGCCAGAGTTTGCCACCTGCCCGTCAAGTCAGCCATGCCCCTGATTCATCGATCTTGAAGCATGTTTATTTTTGCTCTAAAAATAAGCTTTTTTTGCTTGGTGTGTATGTGATGTCTGATACTTCAGCAGATGGCCTCTGGTGGACACTCAGGGAAATTGCAGCACTTGTGCATTGGCTTCATTTCTAAAGACCAGGTTGCAACGGCTTGGTCCCCGCATGGCCACTAATGCATCCCTGCTACAACCATCTTAAAACCTAGGGGTCATTAAAAGGAGTAACATAATAGGCCTTAGAATTCAACAAGTACATCTAACAAAAGAAAACTCTCAAAGAAGAACAAGAATTTTAAGAATTTATTTTGGATGAAACTAATGAAGAACAAAACTAAACCAGTTTATCAAGTTGTGAACAAAAGGACAACGTTAACTAACAAAGAATTGTCTGGTGAAAACCTCAAACAAAAGAAGTGACTTCAGGGAACTCAAAAGGCCAAAACGAAAAAAAACAAAAAAACAAATCTAACTTCAAAAAGATCACCCCTTACCTGTCTGTACCAAAATCCAATTCTTAACTTCCTGACTAGCCAGGAAACAGAAGAAAACCAAGGTCAAACAAATAATGGCAAACGTTCCCCTAACCCTTCCTCAGTCTTTAACTAAAATGGTTCTCACAAAATAAACGTACAGCACATCACAGGAGTGGAGCGAGAGAGACTGAAGCTCTGGCTTGAGGATCTACTGTAACCTTTCAGATGAGGCTGGTCAGCCTCAGCAGCTCAGACTCCTCAGGTGTGGCAGAATGGAGAGGGGGAGGTGTGGAAGGCCTGCAACACAAACAGGGTGAGAGAGAGCCCAAACAGAAGTAAAGTTCACCCTAACCCCTGACAGCCTTACCAGGGGCCGCAACAATCCCCATACATCATGGGTGCTGGCTTTTAAACTGCCTGCAGGCTCCCTCTCTTCTGAAGAGTAAAAGAACATCCATAGTTTCCAAAAAGACTGCTGAGTTGGTTTTCCTCAGGCCAAAGTTTTCTACAGTACCTCAGTTCATCGTGATTAAAGGGACTCAAGCCCAGAGGAGTTTCTCAATCATGTTTCTATACAGTTTCTTGTTTGCCTTTAGTAAAACCTATTATGAGGTGTCCTTCCAGCAGTAATTGCTGCCATTTACGTATATCAGTTAAGTTCCAAGTAAACAAAAAAACTGTGTCCTAGATACACAAGAGCTGGGAACAGTTTGTGACCGATATTATCTGCTCTAATAGATGAGGTGTGTTATCTGTTTGTTGGTTTTGAATCACACCCATATCAGAAATATCTGAAAGCTGACTCATTCATTGTTTTCAAAGATAGTGTCCTATTTGAAGGGCGTAGTTCTAGGAGTGGTGTTATAAGTGCTGACAAGCCTACGGCATCATTTAAGTGATACTCCTCCCAACTGTATCTTTTCAGCACCAAACGTTAATTAAACAACTTTTAAAAGACAAAAGTGACATTGTACAAAGTGGCGCCTGTCATGGGAACACGTATGGAGCCAGACTGACATGCTTTGAATCAACTCGACTTAAGTAGATATAGTCTCCAAAACTGACTGGCAGATCTGTGTTACGTTGCACAGGGTTATACAAAGAAAAAGATCAAACTGCAGAACAAAGGATGTAAGAAAGGAGGACTAAATGAAAAATACAACAAAAACTTTATTAAAAATGTCCAACTAAAAGAATCCAACGGTAAAATCCAAGGAAAGACGCAGGGGGAAAAATCACAAGGAGACAAGTGGGGACACAATCATACGCACACATCGTCATACATACAACGAACCAACATGGACAGAGAGGAAGACAGGGACTATATACACACTGGAAAATGAGCAACAGGTGAGGCAAACAAGACACAGGTGAAACTCATGAGTGATGAACGAAGGAGGGAAAACTAGGGAAGTAGAACCAGACTAGAAACACAAGGAATCAACGACTACAAGTAAAACAGGACACACTGAAAAGTGAACTAAAGAATAAAACACACAGAACAGGAGGGAAACCGGGTCAAACACAAACTGAAAACTCACAAGACAGGACTACAGGAACAATGGGGAACATGAACACTAGGGACAATACACAAAATGTACTCAAATAAAACCTGGAGAAAACTAAATAAAGAGAACATATCATGACACTCTGACTGCCATTGATGTAGCATCAAAGGGATATTCCAGTGTAAAATTAATTTAGGGTCAAACACACCGTAACACTGAGTTAGACACCGCCCTAAGAGATTAATGTTGCCAACTGCTTGCTTTTCTAGTTATACCAACTTTAGTAACGACTGCACATTGGCAATACACAGTGGTCTACGTCTCCACGTGCAAACCACAACCAAAACGCCACTCCAAAACAGCACCTAACTTCCTCAACAGTACATATAGGGTCCTAGCCACAGCACTAGCCACCAAACATCTTTTTAACTTTGCCAGATTTCTTTAGCAAGAGTGGCGTTTTGGTTGAGGTTTGTGTGTGGCTCCTCAGACTGCTGTGTATTGCTGTCGTGTGGCTGTTACTAAAGTTGGTATAACTAGAGAAGCAAGAAGTCTGCAACATTCATCTCTCTACGGGGGGTCTTAATCAGTGTTGTGGTGTGTTTAACCCTAAATTAATTTAATGCCAGAATATCCCTTTAATACTGATTGATACAATTTATTATTATTATTTTTTTTCATCGTTAAGTTCCTCCTTTGCCTACTTTCTAAACTCATCCATTTACTGAAGGTCGTTAAATTCTCCTTTCTGGTTATTTTTATCACGTTCCTCATTAGTTTGGTCCACCTGCATTTGAAATTGTCAGGTCATATTTCTTGTGTGTGTGTGTGTGTGTGTGTGTGTGTGTGTGTGTGTGTGTGTGTGTGTGTGTGTGTGTGTGTGTGTGTGTGTGTGTGTGTGTGTGTGTGTGTGAGCATGGTAAATAGGTGTGTTCGTTCCTGCCCAGGTGGTCCCCACATTGATAAAACGATTACTAAAATCCCTCAGAGTGAGAAAATGTGCTCCTGTGGGTCTGTGGTGTGTATGTGTTTGTGTGAGCATGTGTTTGTGTGTGTGCGGCAAGGTGTGTGTACACTCTCAGGTACATAGTATAAGAGAAAACTTAGCCATGTATAAAATTGGCTTCGCTGGCTGGTTGCTCGTATTCACTCAACCAACCTTGTAGCTCCACACAGAAACTATCGTTCAAATCAGCCTGAATGCTGATTTTCTCTCTCTCTCTCTCTCTCTCTTTCTCTTACTCTCTCTCCCCAGTTCCACAGGCTGAGCTCTATTTTAGCAGCCAGCCATAAGAGAGCAGGCGAGGACTCAAATTGAAACCTGCTCGTTTATGAATCAAATTTGTTCCGCGTATACATTTTCCATAACGCAGAGGACTGCATTAGACTGTGTTTAGCTTTGTCTGCACATGTGTGTACGTATGTATGCACAGAGGGGCTTTTGGGGTGTTTTTTTGTAGTGTGTGTGATCTTACGTGTGTGTGTGTGTGTGTGTGTGTGTGTGTGTGTGTGTGTGTGTGTGTGTGTGTGTGTGTGTGTGTGTGTGTACATTTATGAATTATACCATTGTTCCCCTCATCAACTGTGTTTACAGTACACTCGACTGAGCCTGATGCTCTGGACGTATGAAAGTCAGGACGTCAAGGAGGTTCGGATTTATTAATCCTCATTTCATTTAGTTTTCTGCTTCCTGGAATTTGTTTAACTTGGCAAAAGAGTCCAAATTGAAGCTTGGCTTGATTCACAAGGTGGACGACATATTAAGACCTGCTGGACCGTCAAACCTGGAGGTTAAAGCTTTCACACTTCATCAATTTCACCTTTTCAATCTACATCAGTCATGAAAAAAAGAGTTCAGGGTTTAAAATTCTGTTATTTCTCATTTCAAACTGATTTAAAGTTCATATTAACACTGTAAAGCTGTGTCTAAACTAAAGAATCAAATCAATCAAATGACATGTACTCTATCATTGTGAACTCCCGAGTTATTACTCAAATAAGGGCTGCACCCTCCAAGCAGGGACAAGTTCAAGTCCAGGCCTGAGGTGATTCACACACTCAAATTCAACATAAGATTAACTTAATTGACCAGTGAATCAAAGTTTCCCCAACCCTATCAAGAAAGGACGTGTACAAAAAAACGGTAAACAGCTGTAAAAGTGACAGACATCCTGTTAGCCTCTTGCTAATGCATTTTGATGATAGCTTTGATATGTAATAGCTCAACCTGGTAACAACCGAATAGCAACGAGTTGAAAGGGGGGCATGTCACCACCTGCTGTAACAGAGGTGTACACACTTTACTGTCAATAATATGATTTTGCTCTGTGCTTGTAGACAGTCATCAAGCTGTAAACATAGCTTTACTGAACTGTGCATGTGATCGTTCTGTCTGTCTCTGTGTCTACCATCTTTGCTGAGCGCTGCATGTCTAATCCAGTGCTCAGCAAAGATGTCTCGTGGTTAGCACTGTTACCTCACAGCAAGAAGGTCCTGGGTTCGAATCCAGGCCAGGGTGTTTCTGTGTGGAGTTTGCATGTTCTCCCTGTGTCTGCGCGGGTTTACTCCAGGTACTTAGGTTTCCTCCTACATCGCAAAATCATGCAGAGGTGGGGTTAGGTTAATGGGCCACTTTCAAATTGCCTGTAGGTTTGAATGTGAGTGTGGATGGTTGTTCGTCTCTATATGTCAGCCCTGAAATGAACTGGCGTCTTGTCCAGGTGTCCCTTGTTTTCGCCCCGAGTTGCTGGGATAGGCTCCAGCTCCCCCTCGTAACCCCAAATGGGAAGAGCGGTAAAAAATGGATGGATGGATGTCTCATCTTACACTCAGAGATGTGGAGCTGCTCTGATACGGATTGTGTAACTCTACTTATCAAACTGATGAAAAAAAAAAAAAAGAGTTTAGATGACACAGTGCATAAAGTTTATTTATGTTTGTTTTGACATCTCTCCTGTGCACCTGTCCAGGTGTGCAAAAGTTTTATTTTCCTGTTATATATAACTGTATTTCTTAATAAATGCAAAATTCAGCGTAATGAACTTATCTTATGTGCTTACAACTATTATTTGAGAAATTGATAAACCTTCCTGTCGGAGTGATCTCTGACCTCAGTATTTTCTATATCCTTTAAAGCCTGCTGCTCAGGAGTGTGTTCAGTTTGAGTGCTCTGAGTGTATGATGTGAGAACAGAGTTTGACGCTGAGCTCACATTTGATTCTCGTGATGTGATTGTCATAATTTTGCCAGTAAAATCAGAGGTTTCATGAACACAGTCTGAAAAATGTGGTTTTATGTTTAGAGTAAAGGGTGGAAGCTCCTCAGAAATGTGTTTTGGTAACTTTAGATGGAGCAACTCTTTTATGGTGTGTTTACTAAAGCTATTACTAATCTAAGTAACTTCTTCCTTCTTCCTGATATCTTTCTTGACAGATTTCGATTTCCAGCGGGCAGCTTTCAATCAACATGATCATACTACTTCCTCTCCAGCAGACTGGTTTTAGGTTCCCTTTTCATACACATTCAGCTTCTTCACTTGTTCATGATGAAGTGGGCGAGTGCCTGCGCTCTGGGACCTTTTCCATGAGGACTTCAGAGTGAAAACCAGAATCACTTTGACATACTGGAAGCATACTGGTTTGATTAAACTTGTTTGTGAAACGCTTTTATAAATGAGGCCACAGGGCAGATAAAACATGATCAAACGAGCCATGAATGATTACTTACACAATAGAATCCAACTTAAGCACATCCAACATTTAGCCGGAACAATAAACACATCTGGAACAGCGCATTACAAAAATAATTTCTGAAGGCCAATTACTGAAAGTGTATTGAGTTTTATAAACGCAGGATGATTTTTCTGGGTCCAGACTTTGGATGTTGATTTTTGCCTTTTTAAGAACAAATTACAAACTATGATCCTGAAAATTAAAACAGCATGTTACTCGCAGCACTGCGGGGAACTTAGTCACCCCAAAAGAAACAGAATATCACAGACGTGATAGAGATAGAGCTTGGTTTGTAGAGATGAATTCTCCCTCACTCTTTGTCTCTCCTGTGCTGAAAGAGAAGACACGGGGAAAAAGAGGCGAAGCGAGCGAACATGGTGAGATGGAAAATGTGAAGAAGCAGGCCGGTTCTGAGCCCGTGGTTTCACCAGTATAACTGTCCTATTGTTTGACTCGAATGAAGAGTGAGCACAGGACACACACGCATGGATGCAGCTGTGTCATCGTCATGCCTGTCATGAAACGCTGTATAAATGTGACTGCTGCTATTGACCTGAGCGGACTGTCAAAGAAATCCTGCAAGAGGCTCAATACGATGAAACACGACGACACCCTGTCACAGTCATCCTCCTCGATATTAGAGATACACTCCCAACCATTGAGTCCTTTACAAAACATGTTAGAAATTACATCTGGAACAGGCTACCAGAGCTTTAAATCAATGTTTGTGAGTACAGGGATGATGAAGGTTAGAAAAAGTCCCAAAATATGAATATAGGCTTAAATATTAAAGAATCCATCCCGGTCTTTCCACTTGATTTTCAGGCTTTGCATACAGTACCAACGCATGTTTGTCCCCCCCCACCTCAGTCCCGCTGCTCCTGACTCAAACAGGCCTGGACATGATTAAAACACATAAAAAAGACACATGCATGGTGTTTCCTCATCACGCACTGTCCGTTTTATGTAGAAAACACTGTACAATGGGCAACATCGCAGAAAA